AGTAAACGCTCGCGGGAGCGACTTCTATGAAATCGTTCCCCCAGTGACTACAAGGATCCAAACAGAGCGGGAGCGACTAGGGCATACGGGAGTAGACCTCTCAGGGTTTAGGGCTTAGGCCCGTAAGCCCCCAAAACTCAAGGCCCCTCGAGGACCCTGAAAGGCCCGCCTGCGTGCCGTAGCTGCGGGTCGCGGCCTCCACGCGTCCATCCCCGAGCTGTCGGAAGCATTCAGCCAGGTAGGGAAGGGCACGTCGGAAGTGCCTGGCATCGATGGCGAGCGGGAGCCAGAACTCCACCTTCTCCTTCCACACCTAGGTTCCCCAGTAGCCCCTTCATAATAAGGGATTCGGCTTTAACACGGAGACCCCCAAATAAAAAGGGCAAAAAGGGTACTACTGGGGAACCTAGACACACCGGAGCGAATGCCGAAATCCTTGAAAGCCTCCTTCGAGAGGAGGTCGAAGGAGCACTGGAAGATCTTGCGGCCAGTGTCGGACTCGGGCACGATCTCCAGACCTACGCCAAGCACCTGGCTTGTAGTTCTGGGGCCCTTAACAAAGTATTTATGAACAGGCGCCGCAGGAACCATAAAGGGAAATTCACAAGTTGCCCAAAGTGCCAGCTAGGCACGTCCTCCTTGTAGCAAAGTCGTGTCACGAAGCAACAGCGCTCGTGGTAGCCCTTCTCGGCGATGCGCTGAGAAAGCTCCCGGAACTTGTCCAGGTCGATGATGGACTTGTAGGGGTACTTGTCGCGCTCCTCCTTGATTTTCCGGTGGATATCCTCAATGAACTTTTGATGCCTCTCGATCTTCTTGCAAACACCTTCATAGTACTCGTTGCCCCACTGCTCAACCTTCTTCTTCAGAACAGTCAGCAGCCTCTCCTCCTCTTTGCCTGGGCGTGGCTCACTCAGTTTAATTTAAGATAGTGACGAGACGACATATACCCCTGCTTCTGTATGATCACCCATCTACAAGATTTAGTACGTTGTCCTATGTCTGCATGATACTTGACATCTGATTCCTTAACACGATCTTCCCGTTGCTCGGGGCTTCCAGCTCAAGACAATTTCCTCAACATCTGAGTTTAGTTGAAGATAGCATACACGAGGTGAACTCCCCAAACCCTTAACCTAAACCCCGAACCCTAAACCCTAAAACTTTTAAGTTAAAGTAGCCCAGTTGCTAAGGGGCTTCGCCCCCTGTGCCGACTCTTTGAACTTGTGCTCCTTGTCGCACAGGCGCTTGTGCTCCTCGGTGATCTTCCGGACGCTCCAGCCTGATCTCTTGTTCGGGGACTACATTTCGGGCACTGATACATCTCAAAAATTCTATAAACATATGTACATGTACACCTGCAATCATCTGCATACACAGAGAAGCACACACTTCGGTGTTTGCATAGTTGTCTGGGGACTCGTATCATCGCCAACTCTGTGTATGCCTGATATTGTGTTTTGTTACGTACTACTAGGTTCCCCAGTTACCCCTTAACAATAAGGGTACCCTTTTTCATAATATTCGGTTTTATAAAGGGGACCGACCCTAAACTAACAAGGGCAAAAGGGTACTACTGGGGCACCTAGACTAAGTTCCTCATGAAGAGCCGGGCAGCCCTCGATGAGGCTGAAGTCGAAGCTCTTCGTCTTGGTGGCCTCCTTCGGAGGAAGAAGGCTGAAGCCTAAGACTCTCCCTCCAAGCTATCTCCGCCTGGATCCCGAAACCCTAAACCACCCTAAACCCATAAATTCATAAACCCTAAACCCTAAACCCATAAACCCTAAACCCTAAACCCTAAACCCATAAACCACACAACCTAAGCTCCTGCGGAGGGGGAGGAGGGTCGGTGGTGTAGTCGATCACCAGCTCCGGATACTGCGACATGGCATCCTTGATGAGGCGGTTGTTCCTTACTTTGCTGAGTTTAGGGTTTAGGGTTGAGGGAGTTCATAGGCCTCAAAAAAAGCTGTAAACTTTCCGTTACATAAGGGCTCAAGTTATCACAAAAAACCTCGAAAAGTAGAGTTTTTGAGCTACTGAGGTTCTTAATCCTAAACCCCTTAACCCATTTTTTCAGCTACCAAGGCTCTTGATCAGGAAGAACTTGTCCTCAGCATCGAAGGTCTCTTCGAAATTCAGGTCCATGGCTGTTTTGCCTGGGCTCTGGCTAAGGAGTCGGGTTTAGGGTTTAAGGCTTAGGGCTTAGGGTTTTAGGGTTTTAGGGTTTAGGGTTCAGGGTTTGGGGTCTGGGGAGCTTGATTTAAGTTGTCATGGTTCTCCTTCAGGACTGAGGGTTCCTTTTAAGGGTTGCTGTAACGGTTTGGGGCTGAGGAAGTTAACTTAAGTTGCCATAACTCAGCGTTCCTTTGAGAGTTCCTTCCAGGGTTCTGTTTAGGGTTCAGGAACTCAATTTAAGTTACCACTTTTGGGAATCTATGGTAAAAAACAGGGTTTCCGTACGATGGCAAGCAACCTAAAGCTAGAAATCGTTCAGAGATAGTGAAATCCGAAACCATACCCCTAGACCCCTACCATGGTAGCTTAAGGCTAAATTCCTCAAGAGAAATTAAGACTCTGAACCCTAAACTTCAAGCTCTCTGAACCCTAAACTTAACGCTAAATTCCTTAAGGTTGCCGACTTTGGGATCTTCGGCACCCGGCTGGCGACCCGAAGCGCCGGCATCCAGCACCTTCAGGCTGCTCTTCAAGAAATGGCTGCTCAGCTCCTCGTTGTACCTGATCTTCACATACTTTACCGGTTTAGGGTTTTGGGCTTAGGGTTTACGATGATATCATAAAAAAATATTCGTTTTTTACAATGCTTTTTACGTGCTCTAATCACATATAGTATAATGTTCTACCTAAAGCCTTTGGGCGATTGACCCGTCAACGAACTCTTTCCTGTGCCAGACACGAAGATGAGTGATACCATAAGACTCGAGACTTCTCCAGCAAGGGAGCTGTACATACACTTTTTAGGATTTTAGGGTTTAAGCTAAACCCTAAACTTCCAAACTAACGGAGGCATAGGCACTTGTCCATGGTCAAGTCGATCTTGTAGCGGCGCCGGGAATTGGCATCAGCCAGCGCCTTCCGCAGCACCCACACGGTAACAATGTCTCCGCGCTTGTACACCTCAGCTTGACCCGAAACGACCCTAAACGACCCTAAACCCTAAACCCTAAACCCCAAACCTTAACCGCAGGCTTTCAGAACCTACAGGGGTGGTTTGTTTGTCTAGGGCGTTCGAGAAGAAGTTACAAGGCTTCTGCAGCAAGTCTGCAAGGAGCTTTGCAACTCGGATATGCCTCCATAGCCTGCCTAAAACCTCGCTCTGCCTGAACCCTAAACCCTAAACCCTGAAGCCTAAATACCCTAAAATACCAAAAAACACCAAAAATCTCCCAAAAACACCCTAAACCCTGAAATCGTAAACATCCACTCCCCAAGATCCTCCGACACCCCACCGCCGGCCGAGTCAGAACTCGGTCTCAAAGCCATCCCTAGAGCCCCAAACCCATGAGCCTGTTTTGGGGGTTTGGGGGTTAGGGTTTAGGTGTTTTTTAAGGGCTCTTGTCCGTCTGCCTTGTCCGTCTGCACGGGTTTTAGGGTTTAGGGCTAAGGGTTTGGGGTTTAGGGCTCAGGTCTTGCTTTTGAGGCTGTTGGTTATGGGCTTAGGGTTTAGGGCTTCGGGTTTAGGGCTCAGGGTAGCGATCTTATAGTATAAGGGCCTACTTGCAAGCTACAAAACGAAGTCCCCTCTAATCCCTCGAAGGGCCAAGGCACGCTGCGGCGGTACCATCCGTCCTGATGGGCTCGAAGGCTCCAAGATCTTGCAACTTTGGGGTAGATGGGTAGTTTTCTTTTTTGTTAATTAAGGTCCCTTTGGGGAGCTCTTTTTGTATGGGCTTTGGGTAGATGGGTAGTTTTCTAAATTAGGGTCCCTTTTGGGGGGTCCTTTTTTATATGGGTGCCTACTATATTGCGGACCCAGAAAGGGACCCTCATTTTTATGAACTACCCAGATGGCTCCCTATGAGAGGCAGTCTGGAGAAGCCTAGATCTCATGGCGTCGGCTCTAAGCTCAAATCACGAGTCTCTAATCGTCAAGCCCCGAACCCGAACACCGAATACCCTACAGCCAGCCGCACTCCCTTACCAGAAAACCGATATACACCACCCTAGACCCTAAACACTAAGCCCTAAAACCCAAAGCCCTAAAGCCCAAAGCCCTAAAACCCAAAGCCCTAAACCCAAAACCCAAAGCCCGAAACCCCTGCCAGCACCAAGCCCCAAACCCAAATCCCGAAACCCGAAGCCTGGCTCAAGGTACCAGAACCTTCTTTTTTCGCACAGCGTTTAGTATAGTATGGTACAGTATAGTATGGTATAGTATTGCATAGTATAGCATAGTATAGCATAGTATAGTATAGCATAGTATAGCATAGTATAGTATAGTAAAGTCTAGTAAAGTATCTAAACCCGACGAGACAGTTGTGGGAACCCTTGAGCTCGGCTGCAGACACCTGATGAATCCACCGCCCCAGGGTTTCGGGGTGTAGGGTTCAGGGGTTTAGGGTTAGGGTTTAGAGTTTCGGATTTAGGGGTTTAGGGTTTAGGGGCTTAGGGTTTAGGGTTTAGGCTAGTATAAACAAACCCAGAGGGTTTGCTGATCAGGGATCGAAGCACCCGTCGAGAACCTCGTCACAGCACCCCGAAAAACCCTCCAAAAACTCCCTCAGAACCCTTGCTGAACCCTGATCCTAAATGCCCCAAAAGCTATCTCAAACCCTTTCAAAATGCCAATGAAACCTTTGGGGTTTAGGGTTTAGGGGCTTAGGGTTTAGGGTTTGTAAACCAACACCCCCAAGCTATCTCAAACCCTTCAAGCCAGTCAAAAGCCCATGAAACCCTTTAAACGACCACCCGCAGAACAGATCCCAGCCCGAGTCCTCCTCCGGACCCTCCGCGAAGGCTCCAACTCCCAGCTGCGCACGGGGCAAGAGGCCAACCAAACTGTCGGACAGGGCGACGAACCTGGGATTTGGGTTTAGGGTTTAGGGGTTCTGGGTTTAGGGTTGAGGGTTTAGGGTTTAAGGTTTAGGGTTTAGGGCGGTTTTTGTATGGGTGTTGAAGGCATTGGGTCCAGGGGTGGAAGGGTTTCGGGCAACTGCACGGTGTAGTAGCAACAGTAGTTGTCGTCGTCATCGTCGCAGTCGCGGTAGTCGCAGTTGCAGTAGTAGCAGTTCAGCCATAAAGTAGTGCAATTAGTAGTAGTCGTCGTCGTTTTCGTCGTCGTCGTGGTGATCGTGGTGGTGGTAGAAATATTGTTGTGTTCAGAGTTGATAAGGCTCAGGGATTATCCACACTGAAACTGGGGTTGAGGGTTTAGCCTCGGGTTTGTTTCGTTTTTCCGAGTACATTACAAGATATTGGGACAAGGAGACAAGGGCTCATGGATTTAATCGACCAAAGAGTTGGGGCTTCAAGCAAATATGATCGTAGTGCCACAGACCGTTCCGTATAGAGTCTTGTAAGGATTAAGAACCGTTGTGGAAAAGTGCGCGGATTGCTCTGGGGTTTTCTTCTGGCATTCCCAACCTCCGCACGGAGCGATGTGGTACTACGGTCCACTTGGGAGCCCTGCTCAACCCTAAACCCAAACAGCCCGAGGCACCCAACCCTAGACTCTTAAAGTCTAAACGCTAGACCCAGGGGCAGCCCCAAATGCGAGGTGTCCACGACGATGCCCTCGTGCTTGCCCCCGATGCGCAGCTCCTTGCATTGCAGTTTAAGAATTTGGCTCGCGCGAGATGTGGGGACGCGCGGCTCCTCGAACGTCAGGCGCGGCTGTAGTGAAAGCTTCATCCGTCTCTGGTTGACGTCGACCTCGCTGATGTACACCACCACCTCTGGCAGATCAAAGGCTCTTGCTTGATTTGCAGCTGGTTGCCGGTTAGGTAGCTACGCAGTATGGATTTGTCTGAACCCTACATACTGAAGCCTATAAACCCTAAACCCTCAACATTGACTCCTTCAGGCCCACCGGGCCTGAACCGCCAGAACGGGGAAGGATCCAGGTAGTGTCCATACGAGTAATTGATCATTCCATATGTCCACCGTACTCCCTCAACCCCACTACCCTAATCCGACTCGGCTGACTTGAAGCTCGGAACTGCTGCAAACTGCTGCTGTGACTTGTACTGTGTTTATGACTGAAGTCTCAAACCCGCAAGCAGCAGCCATTTTGGGGCCTTCACAACTAGACAAGGCTTTGGGGAATACGTCAGCATTGCGGTTTACGAAATACCGGTCGATACCCCCCTGCCCTGAACCTGCCCTGCCCTGCCCTGCCCTG